AGTACGCTTACCGTACCATAAGTGGGTTGTGAGCATGACGCAGTTGAATTTTTGGACTTTCTATGTGTAAGTGTCAGTTGTTGCCGGGCCATTCTGATGAATTGCATTTTTCGCAGTTACATGCGGTATCTCATAATACTGAACACGAAATAATGTACATTGTCAATTATGGAACTTAAATGCTGTACTTGAAAATTACCTTCATAACACTGATTTTCCAGTGTTCCCGGTCGGTCCTCCTTGCATCCGGTTTCTTGAAGGTCTTATGTCCGTAAACCGAAATTTATTTCTTGCGGTCATCATTCCGGTTAGATCGGTCTGATATTTCGGCTAATCGCTCACTCGTATGCAGAACATCTTCCGCTTTCGAATATTCGACGGCATTTCGTATACCGCAGCAATGGTCGCAACGTCACAAGTTATTGTACGCGAAGTTCGATATAAAGTTCATATTATTCTCGTTACCATGTGCAAAAATTCACCCAGGGACAAAATTCGATGATCTGCACACAACTGAGACATTTGTTATGGTTTTGGCTAATATGATGGCTTGCGAAACTAAAGAAGAGGCTGCTTCATTACGTACATGTACAACTGTATGTTGTCCGCCTTTACCGGCGCGATATCTCAGTCAATCAGAGCAAAGACTTAGGAAATGACGTCACTCAGTTTACGCTTTCAGCCGACGAAGAAAGAGGAAGACAGGCATACTTAAGGTAAAGTTTCACCTGTTTATGTGGCGAACTTGATAAACTAAGCAAATGGTGACCCTAAAAAACAGACCTCAGTAGATGAAAGAAAGCGAGTTGCCAACAGACGTGGGTTCAAACATGTAGACAAATGAAGGGGTAGATCATACATCAAGAGGTCGTCTGGAATGATCTCACCCGCAAAATTAGGGTAATCTCGCTTATTCGTACACGTTAGATGAAGGAGGCCTTACTTATATGGCATCTGAGTTTTTAATCATACGCTGTTTGAACAACGGACTGGAGTTATAACTTTCAAACTTATGCAAGTTGCTTGCATCGACGAGTAAACCGACTCAGGATTTGACAACGCAATCTGTATTAATCTCGGAAAAAGCATGCCTATGATTAGAATACAGTTCATGCAAGAGGACGAAAATTTTGACCCGTAGAATATGTATCAATGAATGGGAAATAACCGGGTTCCATACGTTTTTTAAGTAGAATTGTTACCTGAGAAATTGAGCATAATGACACTACTCAAACTGGCGTCGTCAAATTGGCAAAGTCTCGCATATCTGGGCTGAGAAAAGAGTGGCCTTTTCCACAGAAATCTACCTGTGCCTTGTCTCGGTCAGGTCAGCAGGTCAGTGTTGTTGTATGACTTGGAAATAGTTGCTCTAATGAGAGACGGAACGACGGTTGAACTGTGCACAACAACGTTGGCTGCAACGCATGATCAAGGTTAAATGGCTTGAGCACGTATAAAATGACTCTCTTTCAGGAGCAGCTGATCGCAGTGGACGTGGTGATTAATAAAAGTAGGTTGACCCTGTTAGACAAACTGGTTGAGCATGAACCGTTTACTCAGATCCATGAATTTATCGTGCAGCGTTGATCAAGAGGTCAGCATGTAACATGGAGGAATAAGGTCGAGGCAGACATACTTTTGGAAAGGAATATTTCCTTCCAAGATACTGCAACCGATATCTTATAGCAGAAGTGCTGAAAAACTACGGATGCAGGGGTCATCACAAAACAGACCTTTTGCTTATGTCAGTGACTCAAGGTAGTGATCACGCAAACACACATCCATACCTCGTTCATCTGACTAATGGATGAACAGTTATCACTGTCATAGTATTGCAACTGCCAGAAGCATCAGAATGAGTAAGTGCAATGAAAATATTTCTCTCGAAAGACTAATGTTTAGGTTTAGTCTTTTTTTGTCCCTAATGGTTTAACAATATTCTTTACCGGTAACTGAAGTTGTTTTTTAAACGTTCACTTTAGATTTGATTTCTTCAATGACGAGATTCAAACGTTTCTGGACTTTGAAACTCCATGGTCGTCAGGTTGCGGCCAGGGTGATGACGTAACATTTTCGATGGACGAATGCGACCGCATGAAAAACCTGCCTAAGAGGCGAATTCGCCTGAATAAGGCCGAAACGTCAGTTGTCGTCCGGTCTTTAGTGGACATCATGTTCGCGTACGTCTATGATTTCGTGACCACCCTCGGCGAGCACAGCGTACGTTTGCCTTTGTTTGGAAGGGTGTCAGGCGCCCTTTGGCTCGTTTTCATTTTAAATTTTTTTCAGGTGGAGTCCGGTTGGACAATTCGCTCTTTATGCGCTACGTTTAGCGGCTTGGTGTCCTGGAACAGCGTTCACGAAGCCGTGCTTTCCGCCATCCGACGATCGATCTGCTATCCGTTGTACCGCAACCTTAAATTGTCGACATTCGTCTTCAAAAACGTCGTTAACATCTTTAATGCAGGTAATTAGTGATTGACTGATTTTTCATTAATTGCAGGGTCGAGTTCTTACCTCAGAGAGAGAGAGAGAGTTAAATGTTGACAGATAAAAGAAAAATTACAGAGTAGTGAAAATAGTAACGGTACAGTGCGAGCATTGCAAGTTAGATGACGTGTAGCTTTTAACTATCTATCCCTGATATCCCTTCATTTGGCTTATCGTCGTTTGTGACGAAGCCGCAGATGCAGCGCTCAGCATGTATACAGCCTGCCTCTTTGGCGTTTTTTGCTAGTGGACTTTCAGAAGTCCCTTCATTGCTAACAGTCGTGAACTATTGCTGTTTTTCTCTGACTTTGGTTTCGCCCAACACATGTATTAACCGGTGTACTTTGTAGGATTTTTGTTACAGACAGACATCATTGACGAGTTACGGGAATCGCTACCGCCTTAACCTGCCGAAGCGGGGGTCGTTCACATCTTCCAGGTCCGTAATCAACAAGAGGTCTCTGATATGTCAGTGAATCATCGACCCTTAGAATGGACTCTGTAACATGATAACTTCAGTGTATATTAATTTATTCGAATCGTTATTCTGTCTTTAACCACTGGATCAGAATACTTCTGTTTAAAAGACTGTTTAAGTTTAGTGCTTTATCTGTTTATTCAAAGGTGCTATTCTTCAACTTTTTATCCAACTGCACCGAAGGACAGGAGGATACTTCTACCACTGACCTCGATAAAACAACCTTGGGTCCACGGACTGTATTCGTTCCGCAATATAAACATTTAAGATTTTGCATGTTTGTTCCGAACAATGTATGAAAGCGATGAAAT